CTACTAAATTTGCTGCATTATAATTAAGATTTCCTAAATTTACTTGTTAAGCATTATGGTTTGATATAATATGTTGATTTTCAATAAATGAATTACTATTCCTAATAAAGGCTGGATTTGAAAGATCAATTGTTTTCTCAATTAATAAATTAGTACAATCCATGTCATCTAATTGAAATTGATATTGTAAGATCCAGAAATAGGTTTGAAAGAATCAGAAAATTCTTCAGATTGTTCAAATTCTAACTAGTTAGAATTAATTGTCAATTCATTTATATTGTCTCTAGGATTACATTCTAATAATTCTTTATCATAGAAGTTCAATGTATTTAAATGTTTGTATAACAAAATAATTAAATCTGATTATTATCTTTAAGTAAAAAATATTAAGTCTTGTTCTATAATCTTTAAACATCCATTTTAATATTAAAAAATTTTATTTATATACAGCTTGTGATAATGGAATAGAGAAGATTTTGATAACTAGTTCAACTAATAAATATTTTTGTACATCAATACTAAGTTATCATTTTAATAATAATTCTTTTTCTTTTTTAAATACTAGAATATAAAGTTTCTTTTTATGTTTATAGACATGAAGTTCAGTTAATAAATTTTATATGACGCTTTATTATAACCTAATTCTTGCTATATTGTGTAACTGCTATTTTACAAATTTGATAAAATTGATCTTTTTTTAACCTAATGTCTAAAAATATATCGAAATACAGAATTAAATATTATTTTATTTTATTTTTTTTTTAAAATATTAAGGAAATACTTGTAACCTAAGATTTTATTGATAATATATTTGGTTGATAGTTGCATTACAACTACAGAAGGCAATCATGAAAAAAGTATACAACTAGCCATTCATACAACTTTAGTTATTATCTAATTTAAGTAGTCTACCCAAAGGTTCTATACTAGTTATTATACCTGAAACCTGTCTGTAGGTTTTTTATTTAATCACTCTAGTTTTCATATTCATCTATCTACTTCTGCTTACCAACAATCCCAGCCAATGCCAATGAAAATATACCATGATCACTAAGTTTTTAAAACAGTTCACTTATATGAAGAACCTTTAACCTTGTACTAAACTATTCAGAATCTTTTATATTCTATTCTTATAGCTAACCTGGTATCATTATAACTGAGATCAACACTGGTAGTTAGGATATACTATTAAATCACTTTGTCTTTGTAGAGTTCACCCCAACCCTAATACTAATTTCACAATATATTCCTACTACTTTAGTATTCAATTCAAGTTTTATCAAGCTTTCAAACCAAATAGCTCAGAAAAACAGATTATAACTATACACCTCTAATTTATATATTTGCTAACATGTAATATTTTTTTTCAGAATAGATTTTAGCAGTCTGGTTAATTTCATTTGGTTCCTTCTCAAAGACTGGTTTTTTGTCTAGTTTCACAAGTTTTAACTCTATTTTATAGGTTTAGTCTTTACAATAATACTGTTAAAGATTTAGATTATCTTTCTACTTAGGTTTTTCAAGTAGACTTCTATTTTTCTATCTGGTTTTTGTAATTTATATGATCTAAGGACTTATTTTGGATTCATACTACACAGTACTGGTTTGTGTTTCTTTATACAATATTGTATGAATGTCTAGACCTTCTAGTCATGCTGATATAATATAGATTATAGATGTCTTATCCCAACCAATCATAGAAGACAGTTAACTATAACACAAAAAGAATTGCAAATTTTTGTTGTCACTAGGATTTGAACTCTAGACCTGTCACTTGAGGATTAATAACTATCCACTTCACTAAGTTGCTACACCCTTAAATATTATATTATTAAAATTATATATATGTATATACATATAATAATTATCTTGATATAATGGATACAAATAATATATAAACTGATATAGTAGTATTACAAATTTCTTAAATCATAAAATATAAATTTTTATAGCCTTAAACTTAAATAAATTAGTATTTGGAAGATGATTTATAGCTGCTGCAATTTTAATTAATGCTACATAGCAATCAGCAATAGTTGTATGCTAACTTTATAATTAATTAATTATATTTTTTATGTGTTTTAATATTGCTAACAGATAGTGACATTGATTAAAAATTTGTGATTTTGAATTAAATCCAGAACAGTCTTATTAGAAATCATAGTCTTATGATTATTAATAAGTTAAAAAAAAGATATTATATATTAATATTAAAATAATAAAATTTTAATTTATATATTTTATAAATTTATTTAATTGAATACTGACTATACATGAATTAAAGAATTTATAATTATATAAAGAAAACTCCACTAGGTTTTACAATAGGTTTTAAGCTTAACTTCTTCAATATTCATAACTATTAATTTTTTTTTTAAATATCTATTTGCTAATAAAGAATAATGAAAAAAATTTACTATTACTCTGCATTGTTTAATTAAATTTTTAATTTTATCTGTTTCAGTAAATCAAATGCTATTAAGTTAATAACATGTGCATCACATCATATATTAAGTATAAAATTAAATCATTCATTAATTAATCATCAAACTCATCTTATATTAAAATCATGATTAATGACAATTGTAACAAACTTTTCTACTCCAATTTTATTTAAGATACTATTAATTTCTTTGACTAAAAAATCTCTAATTTGTGATATAACTGAGTAGTCTTTAATTTAATACAAGTGTTCATGACAATTAGAGATTATAATTATATAATTATAGAATGATGTACCTGTTGATGCAGTCCACCTATCAAGTACTAAAAAAAATATATTATTAATTATTAAAATATTAGTATTTTTTTATTCAAAAAAAAAACAATAAATTTATTACTTAAGGTTAAATTTGTCTTATTATTTAATTCAGCATCAATAGACTTTTTGACTTTAGTTACTTTTTTATCAAAAATATACTCAGAAAGAGTATAATGAGAAAATGGATTGTATTTAATATTTAAGATTTTAAACATATTAATGATAAAAGGATTATTAATAGTCTCAAAAGGAATCCCAACATACACCCAACCTTTTAAAATAGCATTATCAATTTGTCACTGCCTTTCTTCTGACATTATGTCTGATGATCCTGATTTAGTTTCAATTTTATTTTACCTTTTGATCATTTTTTCCTTCATTGCTAAATTATCTCTTCAGATTTCTTTAATCTCAAAGAATTTCTATACATTCTCATGCTAAATGACATTTAAGTATCTGTGGCTTTTCACAGTTCCATTCAACTTCACAATATCTGCAACTAGCTCTATAATGCCTATCTCCTAAATGATCTCTAATATTAACATAATCCCAAACTTGATCTTGTTTAGGACCATCATGACATCTTTTGTTAGGCTGATTAGACAGAAAATTTTCTTCTCTAGATGAGCTATTTTGACTAACCACTTCTTGAGATGGAATAATTTCATTTCACTCTTGAAGAGGTTTTGATAATTGTTGGGAAGTAGAAGGATGACATGTAAAAAGTTGATTGTTGTTATAATTTAATTCAGATAAAGGCAATTGTGAACGATCATTATCTAGAACCAAATCGTCTTCGTTCAAATCCATTGTAAAAAAAGTTTTCATTAATAGATAATAATTTCAAGAAAATATATAAACTAATTTTATTCGTTTAAATTATTTTTATTACATCATTGATTAATATATTACATATATTCATACGTATCTAATTAATTACATATATTGATTGTAGTATTGATGAATTAAATGCCATATTGGTCATATGGCTATAGCGGTAGATATAAACTTTTAATTTATCGATACGATATTTTTGAATTCATATGGCACTTGGGATGTATACGGCATTTGGGATTCATACGGCACTTGGGATTCGTGCGGTTTTTGCCGCAACCGTAACCGTAACTTGCTATTTGTCGTACGGTTCATTGGGACAGTTCCGCCTGCATCACTAGTCCCGTCCCAACTTGTCCCATCAATATTTATAAAACATTTTGTTTAACAACTAAATGCAGATAGATTATTTTGAGCTATTTAAGACCTAAAAAATTGTTCCGTCTTAGGATTGTGTTACAAAAATTGTAATCATGCAATTTTACGTAACGGTAAGTTTCGATATAATGTTGATCACGTTATATCTAAGCTCTAACGCTAATGAAGTTTATGGGATTAACATATCTGAATATCGATGTGCTTATTTTACTATTTAAGAAAAGTGACGTTTTATTATCGTTGTCCAGGCACATTTATCCTATTTATACAATGTATATTTAAAGGCTCTGTCGCGTGTTCCTTTAAAGTCCTCCTTTCTGTTTGTTACCGCAAAAATAATTAATGAAATTACCCTCGGTGCAAATATAACTTTTATTTAAAACAAAATCCATTTTGTGCAGTTTTCTACTTACGTGTTGTATGTGAACTTTTTACAAAATTTATATATCAAAAAAACTCTTGTGCATGTTGATTTCATTTACTATGGTTTGAAAGAAATACCATATGATGAGTTTGGAGGATTACAATTTATAAATTATGGGACGTCAGCAAATGTTTATGTAACTTTTTGTAATTTAATGAAGAAAAATGTTGTGAATTTCAGCCTCCTTCTTGATCTAGAGTAAATAATCATTAGTCAATATTCCACAAATACTATACAAAATTATTTGAATGTATTCACAAAGCATTATTTGAAATATAATTTGATATTAATATGTACAATACAGTACAAAGCATATTTCGAATTTTATATATTCAGAAAGATACTGATGATAAAGCTATCAAATCATTTTTACACATGATGTTTTGAATATAGTTAAAAAATTTTATATGCAAATATATGCAGATTAACACCAACTGATTAGGTTATATATCGATATATTTATTATAGAAACAAATACAGCAATATGATACCAATATATTTTTGATATATGGTGATAGAAAATAATACAATGATATTATACAGTATATTTTACAGTTGTCATTTTATAAAGATAACTTATTGCTGTACATTTGAGACGGCAATTTATTTTAAAGACTAAAAACTTTTTTTGCAATAAACAAAATAAAATTTTATTATTTCCGCATTTTTTTTTCCTAAGCTTATTACTAATTGTGTACAGGAGATCCAATGGTAGTTGCATGCAAGGGAGATTTATTTGCATTATCATTATTACCTTTGAATTTCTTTTTAAAAGAATTTCTAAGATTTTGCAAGTTCACGATGATGCCGTTCTAATTATTTGAAGAAAGTATTAAGTTACATTGCTAAGCATATATTTATAATATACAGTAATTGCATAAATATTTTTTAATTTCTAACCCGTAGAACTAATAATGCGTGAATAAAATTTTCTACATCTTCAACTGGTTCATTGTAAAACGGAATCTTGGTTTTTACAATAGGAAGATAAAATCTTGTTCCATTTTCTCGTGCTAGTCCATGAATTATAAGAAAACCGCCTAGAATAAATATTATTAAATTAATTAATTAAACATCACAAAAAAATTTCTCACATATTAAATTAATTCATATCCATACTTGCAATATTTATGCCAAATGCAAAAAAAAATTTACGTAATTCTTCTTTTTTAGATTTTTTTGATATTTCGTCATAACAATCTATACAAAATCGCACCAAACTTTTATAATCATCCCATATTTTGTCTTCGTTAGATTTCCACTTTCCACTTTCGACGTATGCAAGTTCATTCCATTTTCTTTGAAAAAATGCTTTTATCATTAAATCCGGTCTGTTTCCCCTTGAACCAGTACCTTGGGAAATTTTACGATTTTTACTTGCAATGCTTTGTTTTTCAGCTCTATAAATGAATTGTTAGTTATCAAAATCAACTCTAAATCAATTTTCTGTAAATTACCTAATTACTTTAACTTCAAATTCAACAGGCAAGTTACACATAGCCACATCCATTAAACGACCAATTATTGTTACAAGTGTATTTTCTGAGCATTTAGAAATTTGATGAAGATCCATCTTGATTTCTTGCAAAATCATGTCCAAAATATTATGCGCTATTTCCTCTCTTATGTAAATTGGCTCTGCCCATCTATCATGGTATATAGCTTGAGAAGGTGCTAAAATGAATCTATATTTTAACTGTATTTCATTTCTTTTATGCACGAAATCAGCACATAGGTTTTTTATTGACGATTCTTTATTTAACTTTCTTATTCTAGCTTTTTCTCCCTATAAGAATATAATTGTATGGATATTAATGACTTCAAATGATTCATTATTACAAATAGAAATAATTGAAATTTCTACCAAAAGTACATCAAACTCTTCTTCAGTTATCTGGAAGTAGTTACATCCAAGATCGATTACTCCATTGGCTAAAGGATCGTCATAGGTTAGATCATTTATTTCTTTATTATTAATTTTTTCTAATAAACGTAAGTGCACTGGCGTATTGCTTTTCTAATGTCAAAATTAAAGTACATATTTCAATACTTTATTTTTTTGATAACTGAATATTATTGAGATTCTAAAAATATGTTTATTATAAATTCTTAATACGCTGATTGTTTCTTTCAGACTGCTAATATTACGTATAGCTTGAGGCTTCCAAGTTTCATGTTCATAAAATCTGGAGCTTTAGAAAAATATACATTATTTTAAACTAAATACAATTCTAAACTTTTGACTTTTGAAAATATCAAAAAAAATTTTACCGGAATAAATCAGCATCAGCTAATGATTTCAATTCATTCCATGAATACCGTATCTACATAATGAATTAAAAAAAATAAAATGTCTATTAAATCGTTTTTAAAATAAAATAACAGTTTTTATAGTTTACTAAAATTCAGATCTTTTCAGTAAGCTGCAGCTATTATGGTACCATACTGAAAGTATAAAGAAATCATCCGTGAGATACTATATGGCAGGTTATCGCGACAGGGCTTACTCCACGATATCGTATCTTAAAAGAGCAGGTAAATGCTTCCTCAACGCTATTACATCCTGCAGTAACATAATAAGGTTTTGGAAGCAACGAAGCTACCTGCTTTTGTCATAGTAAAGAATTCATCATATTCATATAAATATATTTTAAATTGTTAAAATTGTTACCTTATCTGTATCTTGTAACTGTTTAAGACAAAATTTACGGTTTTCTTCAACAGTTTCTGACCATACTTCTTCTAGAATGAGATTCAGTTGATTGCAATCATCATCTTCTGTTTGCAAACCATATATTCTCCACATTTCATGCAAACCTCTGCTTATTGTAATATTTTCTAATGGTTCATTTTTTAAAAATTCATGAAGAGAATAAAAGTTTTCAGCTTCTTGAGACATTAGGTGCGATAACGTTATACAATATTGTGAAAACCAAGTTAAACAACAGTTATACAATAATATCGATTAGAGATGTGATCCATTCAAATCCGAAAATCAGATTTTTATATAATCTGAATAATCTTTCAATCTGTTTAATTATAGCCATCACATTGCTACAAGTTTTTACATATAATCCATCACAGTAGATTCTAATCGTGATTTAACCAGTTATCAAAAATCAATGAGAAACTTAGTACGTAGAATGAGGTGTATTGTTTACGGGTAAGTTTTTGTGTTCGAAATCTTGCGAACTATTGGACAGTGTGATTTTGTCATGAAAATTTATTATATAAAGATTATCATATTACTTTAAATAGATATAAAGATCATTTATCTGAGAATTTAAGGATATGTATCATATGTTTTAGATAGCATCGTATGATTATTAGATAGCATTCAATTTGATGTTCGTCACACTGTTCTGCAAGATTTAACCCCCAAAAGGTTACAACTATTATTATTATATCCTTTTTTAGCAGACTAGCAGTTTTTCTAAATTACATATCATATGTTCATATGTGCTTATATGCATAAACGCTCTTTTTCACAGCACATATTATAATTATAATTATTATATATGTGTATAATACGTATATGCTATGCTGGTACTTTTAATATTAATATATTTATACTCAGAATTAGATGAATATGTTCAAACTAATTAAAACTAGTTTTGATTTGTAAAAAAATAAAACCATTTTTAAGCTCTAGTTTAGGATGCTTTAACTATAAAATAAAAATTACCTTGGTTCATCTTATTTACTCCAAAAACTATTTATAATATTACTTATTATTGAACTTTTATTTTGCATTACTAATTTCAAAAAAAATACTAATTTCAAAATAATAACTTTTTTAATAAAATATAAACAGCTTTGCAAAAAATCTGACAATTTTAAAATATATAATTTTAATAATTTATTACAAGATTATTTCATTATCATCATTTTTAAACATCTAATAAATTAGTTAACTAATAGTAATTCTTAAATATTTATTATTACTAAAATATTACAATATATTATTAATATTAGTATTATTAGTAGGATTTTTTAAATCCAAATTAAATTAAATATTAAGTCAATTTGAATTTTGCTAAATCAAATATACTCTTGATTTGATTTGATTTGATCAAATATTTAAATCAAATATTTAAATTTGATTTGATTTTTAAAAAAATTTAAAATTTTAATTAATAAAGAAAAAACTTGATTTACAAAAAATTTTACTATGTTAATCAATTTTGAGCTCTTAAGTAAAAGTGTTCTTTTAAATAAAAATAATCCTAGTTTCATAGAATAAAAAGTCAATTGTCTTAATAAAATTTTAAATAAATTACTTATATTTTTGAATATTCAATTAAAAATTTTTAAATCAAATCAAATATTTGTTAAATCAAATCAAATTTGATTATATTTGAATTTAATTTAATTTAAAAATTTCAGATTTGAATTGATTTAAACTCAAATCTTTAATCAAATTAAATTAAATCAAATTGTAAAACTTTAATTATTAAGAATAAATTTATTAGTATAATAATTAATAAATATATATACTATAAATTCTTAGAATAATAGATATAAGTATTAATTTAAAAATTATGAATCTTAAAAATAACATATACAAATTTGAAATAATGCCTATGTGCATTTTAAAATAATATGCACCTTATTACACATTTATATATTATATTGTATAATAGAAATTTACTAAATTAACTTATATACATTTAAAAATATATATATTAAATATTATAATTTTAAAAATTATTAGTCTTCTATTGCTTATTAAAAAACTTTTATGTAATTGTATAGTGAGATCTTTTTAAATACATTTGTAAAATCAAACTTTAACAATATGCACTTAAAAAACATACTAGTTGAAAACTAGAAATTCGATCAGGTCAAATTACAATAACATTCAGCAAAAAATTAACTAATTTTTTAAAATTTGACCAATAAAAATTCGGTCACACCGAATTCTACATTAATTCAACCTAACTTAACCAAAAATTCGGTACCTGAATTTTAACAAAATTCAATTATTCCAATTTTTACATTAATTCGACCTAAATTTAGTCAAAAATTCAGAGTCTAAATTTTAATAAAATTCAACTATTTGATTTTTACATTAATTTGGTCTAAATTAGTCCTTTCCAATTTCTACATCAAAAAAAATGACACCAAATTTTAATAAAATTCAGCATTTCTGATTTCT